TATTTTTATTAATATAAGTTTTAATATAATTTTTTATATAATATTGCACGTAGATAATATTGTATTATATAATGCTAAAGAACTTATTTTTTTATGAAAAATATTAAAAATATTAAAGATAAGATTTAGACTTTTAGTTATTATATATTATTGTAAATAATAATTGTTTAATTATAAAATTCATGCATTTTGCTCATTGTTGTTATGGCCGTTGTTGTTTTGGTCGTTATCTTTTTGCCCGTTATCGTTTCGTCCGTCGTCTTTACTTTTTGAACGATCATTTCTTTGTTTTCGTCCCCCAGCTCTGTCTATTGCTCCTGTGAACCAGCGACTTGTTTTAGATATAATTTCTTTTTCACTTACTGAAAATTTCTCAATTAGAACATCTACAACAAGATGCATAATTATTTTTCCATACTATACATATAATGTATAATACATATATATAATACATATGTAATAAATAAAATAATTGAAAATACAAAGCACGTACCTCTTATGCATTCAAAGGTACGCGTATTACAAAAACTTTTCTTTTTCTGTCCACTACTTTCACGTCCGCAAGCACTATATTGCATTTGAACATCTTTGCTAAGAAGAGCTGTTAATATAGTTGAAATGCTTTTTGTAACATTTTCTATACCTGTTATTTGATTCGCCGTCATGACTTTCTAAATGTTAAAATATAAACATTATATTTTTTCCAATCTCCTCATATTTATTTAAAATGAATAATTTTTATATCTCTTACATATGCTTCTTCTTTTTTCATGTCTAGTGATAATTGCTCATTAAACTTTACGAACTCTTCTACATTATTTAATGGCAAAGTAACTGCTAAGTCCTTTTTACATTCTGTTACTAGTGTACCCAAAGGTCGACCAGTATTAAGTGCTAACGTATTTTTTATGTCATTAATGCTTTTATGAAGATCATATAAAATGCTCCTTTTCATGCTTTCAATTTCTTGTTTAACTGTCGATTCCAAATGATCAAATCGATCCATTAATTGTGCAGAAAAATCGTTATTACTGTGATGTTTTGTCTTATTCTTTATATCTGAAAAATAAGTTGTAATGATATAATTGGAAAAAATATTGTGTAATTTCACAAGTACATATTTTTTAACAAAAATTGGAACGGTATTAAG